TGGAGCATCTTTTTTGATAGTAATGCAAAGTTATGAAAGACAGAAATCCAAGATAAAAAAGAAAATCACATTTACGTAACTATTTAGGCAGTAATCTCTCCTAAAGCTGCATTATAGTACACAGTAGCTAATTTGATGTACTGAATGCATGGCTTTAAAGCATCAACACAAGATTACAACATTATTAGCTGCAAGCTTGTGACCTGCAAGAGAAAATAAAGCATCTTTTTGCACGGACAGACAAGTTGAGTCTTAGTCCTGCAGCATTTAGAGATATAAGTGAGCAAGCAAAAGCTGGGCCCTCTCTGTCGCTTTGGGAACAGTGCACTTATCTGAGCAAAGATGTTAGAGGTCTAAATGTGAGCCATGCTTCTTCTCAGATCATAAACACTTTGCATATATGAATATTAATGTTCCACATTAAAGCCTGATGCCGAGATGGAGAAGTTAATGAGGATAAATAACAGACAGCCAGGCAGTGAAATCTCAGCACTGACATTATTCATCATCCTTAACTTTTGTCACAGCTCCTTTTTTAGTAATTAATATCATACAAGAAGGCACTTTGCACTCGGATGAGTGATCTAATTTGTTTAATATAATGAAATTAAAGGAGCTCGAATTGCTTTATGTTAATGTTTCTGATTATACCCATTGCCGGGGTTGCCTTCCCAGCAGCAGATAACAGACTTAACTTGAGGATTGATGCGAGTCTCAGATCTGCATGTTCATCAAGGAAACTATTTAACTGCAGTTTGCATGCAGCGACTCTGGACTCAATCACACAAACCCGATCTCAGTCGGGAGACGGAGAAAGAAGGAGAGTGTTGTGATGCCGGAGCCCTGAGATGACAAATCTGTAAGCTTTCTTTTTTTAATCAAGACACTTTTCAGTCTCTTCGTTGAGGCCTGATGAATAAAGTCGCAACAATAGTCACTGAAGTTCAGAGGCTGACGTGGGGTGACGTTTAACTAGATTTACCTGCGAGTGGTTTTAATAAAACATGGATCACCATGTGTTGACGTCTTTGCAGTAAAAGTTATAGGGAGAGCTGGTGTGAACAATGCTGCCGGTGATGTTGGTGGGGGGTGCTGGATGTTGAATAAACCCCCACTGGGAGCTCAAACATTAGAGGACGCAGTGCGACTCAAGGTGAAATGTGACATCTTTGGGAAGAATGACGGCAAGGAAAAGGGGAGAGCGAAATAAGAAAATGAGTCCAAGAGCTCAAGAGGAAATTGTGGATTTAAAAAAAAGAGGTAAGGTCACGTAGCTAGTATGCCAGTATTTTAGACATTTCAAACAAAAAAATTATCAATAATTACTGTCATCGACTTCAGCCATATTGCCAGACTTAGGCACAGACCTCTGTCTTTTTGCAAAGAGTGAACCTTGAAAACCAGTGATATATTACACTTTTCAAAACTCTGACGTCCCTAAAATATGAACCTCCGCATCAACATTCAGCATGCACATAACATTAGTCGGGTAGATAAACCTAAATATATTCTAATTCCAGCTCTTACAGGATCCAGATGGCTCAGATTAATAGGTTCTGTTGGAATAAGCAATTAGGAGTGTGAAACTGAGGTAAAGTGACAAAGATTAACCCTCTTGTTAACATTTCTGCCCTTGAGCCTGAGTCTCTCTTAGTTAATTAAATGAGACCTCAGATAAGGCCTGGCTAATAGTCAAGCCCCCAAAGCTCAACTTCTTCCTCGCTCCCTTCCTCAAACAGTCCTCTTAATTTATCACTGAAACACAAAACTTTCTACCGGCTCCAGCTAGAGCCAAACTTAAAGCATCTCTTTAATTTTTTTTGCTTTGCCGCCCGGTCGCTTCTGCTGTTGCCAACCACATAACGAAAGCTTTCCCCATTTCTAATCGACTGATTTTAAGCTGTGGTCAGTGGACAGAATCTAGAGTGGAGCACAAAAGGAGAGTTAAAAAAAAAATGAGGAGATCGATCGATAGACTCAAAGATGTTTGTGAAGATGAGTGGAAGGAGAGCAGCCAGGTGACAGCTTCCCTATAGAGCTGCCAATCATGCACGCAGCACCTGCTGACTCTAAAGAAGACGCCTCTGACCGGCTGAGAACGTATTGATCTGAAGTCCCACGCTCCGGCCGCGCTGTTCTTCTGCCGTCTTGTTTACCCCGGCTTTTTATTCACCTTGTCAGCCCTACGCTCTTGTCAGACTTTATCTTTTACTTTGTGCCAGCCACACAGCGCCGACATCCTCGTCAATGAAAGAGTTCAAGCCGTCTTTGCTCTTCTGGCTCAGAGAAACTCAGTTTTAAGTTGCATTCCCGGTGAGTGTAATGGAGCTGGACATTTAGAGTTAATTTTAACGTATTTTTAAAGAAACGGTTTAACGCCAACCAGCTTTCGCAAAACTGATTATCACATTTCAAATCATAGCAATGTTTAATGTTTCCCATGCATATGTGGGATATATTATAATTGTTGTTTTAAATGCCATTAGTTTGTTAATTATATTGTTTTGTGTTCACAGTGATACTCGTCTTTGTGCGAGGCATCAATACATCAAACTCTCATGACCAAAAATTACTGGACTTAAAAAAGAGAAAAAAAAAGAAAAAAAAAACTTTTTTGCCTGTATAAGTATGTAGTTTGGATGCTGTTTTTTGTGTTTCTTACGTATAGAATAAAGATTTCATAAACCTGAAAAACATTGTTTTAAACAATCAGAGATCAATGTAGACTCAGGCTAGAGCTCTCCAAGCACTACTAAGTTTCCAAGCAGGAGCCTACATGGCTCTTATGTTGAAAACATAACTGTTTTATCTTCATTGGCAAAATAAATTTTAGTTTACAATCAATTTGGATCCAACAAATTAGATGCTAACTTTATGGCTAACCTGCAACAATATTGTCTTCATTACTCAGGCACAATAAATTATGTTCTACGTGGTAACCAAAATCCTGTCACAAAAAAATATGTGAAAGTCGCTTCGTAGTTTCATTCTTCATGGTGATGATACCTGGACAGGACTTTGTGAAATAGCCTTCAAATAGACAACAAATGTTACATTTCACCATAAGAAGTCATTACCACCCTAATTTTAAGTCAAAACCATACAAATCAGCACCCATCCATTCACAGATCACCAAGGAGGATGTTGAAAAAGTCAGAGACATTTTCTCTAACTTTACATATGTGAGGGTAATAAAAGATCAAGTGAATTCTCAAGTTCAAGCTCCAGTCTGTAAGTGTCAAGTTTGAAAGGAGGTGTAAGAAAGAGGTGTAAGGGTAAAAGGTATGAGGTAGTGAGGGGTGACAAGAAGCAAAGAAAGACAGTTCATATTGTCTGAAATGCTTCCCTCTCCAAATACTCACACAAAGAAGGTATAACCCCGACAAGCTTACTGGAAAGTGAGAAAATATAACTGAACAAACTACTGACTCAGAAAAAAAATCCCTAGAGTTCAATGGATATGAATACTTTTGCAAGGCACCATTTCTTTCCAACCATTTTATTTAATTTTTTTAACAGTAATATGAATTCAAAGCTAAAAAAAATTACAATTTATATATTTTTTAACAATATATATTTTGTACACATTTCTCTGTGTAACATATGTTCCCATCAATAAAACAACCACTACAGCTGTAGATTATTAAACGTGACTCTTCATAAAGTGATCTTTGTTTTACTTCACACAGCTGCGAAGCCAAAAACTGTTTTGCCCCCCCGAGACACGCCGGCGTCTTCGCATCTGAATCCTCGCGTCGCTTTTGGATGCTAATCATAAAACAGATCTCAAGCTCGGTTACTCGCTTTTAAACTTTGAAATTAAGTGAAAGGATGTGAGGCTTGTGAGTGCTTTAACTCACAAATCAGAGCATAAGAGGCAAAAAAAAAGCATTCTCCTTGAACCTTGAATGCTTAAGCATTCCTCCTACTTCATAAAGCCATGTGTGTGTGTGTGTGTGTGTGTGTGTGTGTGTGTGTGTGCGTATGATGAGGCTGTAGGAGCTGGGTGGCTAAGGAAGATGTCAGATAGCTTCCTACAGAGCGGTCCACACAGTGTCTGTGGTGGTGTGGCTTGAGGGACCGGTCTGTGGGGAGCTGATTGCAGTGGCTCTCATTATGTGGCCGCTGGCTGTAATGGAGTGTGACAGCAACGTGCTGTGCTCTGGATCTCTGTCCTTCCAGCCTGCAAAGCCAATTAAACACACTTTGCCCTTCTCTCCCGACTGCCTGGCCCTGCTCTGCTCTCAATCACTCCATCCTTTCACGCTGCCTTCCCACCGCCACCCCAGTCTCCGTCCCGTCTGACTCCTCCTCCTCCGTCTTTGTGCGAGGCTCTTTCGAAAATGCCCGGCAGCCACATCTCCGAGCTCAAAAATGACTCCGTCTGTAAGAACTCCACTCGCATCTGCCCTTCTCGACCCCCTGCACCCCACAAATCCTTCCTGTGCCAGGTTAAAGCATGTCTCTAAGTGGCTTTGCAGTGAAACACGGCTCCTTTTCGGGGCCGAAGACAGAAGTGGTGGCCTGCAGGGAGGAAAAGCCTCGGATGACAGCTTCTCTCTATGCTACCACACACATAATAAAAGGGGGGGGGGAGAAAGTCGAGGCAGAGAGCTCTACTTGGTTCCTGAAGACCCAGAGCAGTCACAGCCACTTAGGAGGAAAAATGCCCTGTAGCGCCAAAAACACACATACTCCATTTATCACTCCCTCATAGTGCCCTAAAATGTGAGCACACACACCATTCACACAAGCCTAATGTGTGTGTTTACCACCTGAACTGCTCTCCTGGTTTTTACGTGACTCAAATGAAAGTCCAGCCTGCGACATGAGTTAAAAGCTCCTCCGTCTCTCCTGCAGTGAATTGCTCCGACTGCACAGATCATGTTAGCTGCAATTGTTAGAAGTATGTAATCCCCTTTTTTTTCCCCAGAGTGTGTGTGTGAATGAGCATAATGATAAGGAAGTATGGCATAGGAAGGGGGAAGACGGTTTGGTACCTGTTTTGAACCAGCCGTCATCAGTAAAAGCCTCTCTGGTCTCCTGAGGCCGGTTCCAGTACTCCTTAAAAACAGACGGACCTCGCACCAGCAGCTCGCCCTCTTTCCCCTCAAGGCCCGGACGTATCTGTGACATATTCAAAACAGAGAAAAGAGGAGAAAAATAAATGTCTGAATGGGCCAGAGAGTGTCTTAAACAAGTTTAATAATCTGTCTGAGGCTGTCATATAATCCAACCTCCTTTTCAAGCTAGAGAGTAGTGAATCTTTTTAGCAGTGCAAGTGTTTTTTAGAATAACTTGCAGTCCAAAAGCCAAGCTACCAGCAAGCTTTCTGGTGTTGCTTTGAACAGTGGCAGCTGAAAACGGATCATTAGATGAGCACACATCACCTTGAATTTAAATAACTCCACCACAGAAAGGAGAAAGAATAACAGATGAGCTGTGTGTGAACTTAAATTCTGGTTGTACAGAAAGTGAAGGTGTCTGTGCTTCTGTCATGTCAAAATAAGGGTGTTTGCTTTGATACATGGAAATAATGTTGTAATATCTTGTAATATTTTAGAGGGATTCAAAAGTGCAACTTCTACCAAAGAGCTGCTAGAATATTTATTTATTTAGAACTAAAAAACGAGAAGCTGTCAAATGATTTAATTGATTGATGCAACCTTAAAAAAAGAAAAAAAAGTTGCCTTTATTACTTTTTTTCTGAATATCTTTGAAATGTTGAAGGACCTTCTAACAAGCTTTCAGTTGATTTTTTTTTTTTTTACAGTTTAATGATTAAAACGCATTTACATACTCTTTAGTTTTATTACTACTTTGTAAGTTGGTTTTAAGGTTGTCCGTGCTTTGCTTAGTGATTTTTCATGTGCAACACAAAAGCATTAAAGTCAAATTCGAGTTAGACACATAGAGTATCACTACATTAATTTTTTTTTCTAAAATGAGGAAAAGCATAAAAAAAAAAATCCTGCCTCCATGTAAACCATACCTTATTTTTATTTGCCATAAATGTTTTAAAGTTAGAGTGATGTGCTATTACGATTTCCTCCTGTCTAGTATATGTTATATGTGGAGGCGCTACACATAATCTGTACATATACAGATTCCTGAAAAGCCTTTAATGTCGCGTTAGAATACTTTTCTTTTAAAACCTGTCTGTGGATGGATTGCTTCATTATAACGACTGATATTGATTTACCTGAGTCTCTTTGTGATTCCCTTCAGCAATCATGATGTTGGTTGTGTTATTCATGACAATTCGAACCTCTACATCTGGAAGAGGCAGCCCAACAGCTCCTGTCAACGTTGAAACAAAAAGCATGCAAAAACAAAAAGAATATGATTTTTTTTTTCTTTAAAAAAAAAACACAAAAGGGAGAATAAATGACAAAGTGTTCACTGACAACCTTCAGTTAAGCATTTCTCAAGTAGCAGGCAGTCTGCTCCTCCAAGATGACATTAACCTCCATCCTCTGGGCATAACTGGTCACTAAAAGGTTTGCTGAGCTTGTAAAACTGGAAGCAATTCGTCTCAGTCAACACAAGCCAGCTCACTTTGACAGTAATGGGAATTTCTTGCCCATGCCTGATGCAGCTTTTTTTTTCCCTCTTTAACAACATCAAGAAAAGCTAAAATAATAGAACAGTTGGGACATTTGTCTTGGGTTGCACTTATTTTCTTCTGAAAAAAGCATCTGGCTGCACAGCGCAATTTATTCCTTCAGTCTTAACTACTGCTGAGTGCCTGACAGGCTCTTTCACCGAAGAACAACTGCAAAAACGACTCCGATTAGACAAGCAAACAAACACAATAGCCTGCTGTAAAAACTGTGTACAAATGCGTGAAATATTATCTGTTCCCAGATTCACTGACATCGCCTGCATTTTCCAACCTTGTGTGTTTGCAAATGTGACCTTTAAAGTTAAGTAATTATATCAGCGAGTGAACCAGAAAGGTCTTGGCGCTGTTCTCCGTCCGTTTGTTAAGATGAGTGTGTTCGAGCTCATCGCCTTGGGCCGCGACACGATTCCAGAGACAACGGCTCTCCAAATGAAGAGCAGCTCAGGTCCTGATTACAGAATGAGTTTCTCACTTCATATTGATCTAATCAATTCAGGTCCTGAATGAGGGACTGGAGTTGAATGGATCAATACGAGAACCCACTGAGCACAAAAGTAACCAGACCACTTCCAATGGATTACCAGGGTCATTAACGAGTCCGAGTCATGAGGTCAGGCGAACCGAATCTGACAAAGTCTTAGTCCAAACAGCGTTTAAAGCTCGGGAAAAATGGATGTTAAGTTAATTAAGTCCTAAAATGTAAGTTGGTTTAATAATTATTATACATGATGGAGGTCAGACTGTCAACAAATGATATAAACCCAATATTTTTCAGGATGAAGCTTAATCCTTTATATCAGAAACTTACAAATTCAAGCATATTATTTTCATTCTTGTTGAGTCTGTTGTTACATGTGGATGTTTGCTTATCGATCTATATGAAGTTTCACAAAAACACAAACCGCAGTCTCTGTTTTTCACCTGCTGCAATGTCTAAAACTAAGAAAATAGGAGGTCAGATGGTCTGACAGAATAAAGTAGAGATCGACACAGTTGCATCACCGTTTCAGCAACTGGAGAGATGTGTAACAAAACAAGCTGTTTTGTGCAATAGTTTCACTGTCTCCTAACAAATGTTTCTACACTTTTGCAGCTGAAGTTGTTCATCGGTGGCAAATGCTGTCCAAAAGTTAAATTACGCTTTTAGAGAATCCTAAATAAAACATTGAAATTAAAAAGATCAAACTGCAAGGATGCCTTCCCATGAAAGGGACCCAAGTACCCTTTCGCTGCAAAGAAGGGGTATTTAAAAAAAAATAAATAAAAGCAAAATAAATGTATAACCTCTTCACTCTCCACAACTGGATCTGTTATCAACTGAACAGCTTTACTTTTTACTTTACTGCCCTTTTTTTTTTTACTTTAACAAGATTGAGTTTCTTTTAGACATCAGGCAAAATATAAATAAAACCACGGAAAAAAAGAAACTTTTCTGAAAATAAAAAATTTGCCACTGATTCATGTCTGGCAGAGAGTTTGGACTTAGCTTTTTACTCCACTGCTATTCTACAAACACTAGCAGATAAAGAGACATTGAAGAGACATCATGGTCTCTTAGACGACAATAAAACAAATATTGAAAACCAATGGACACTCACTACATAACCATCAAACATAACTAGGTTGATCTACGATCTAGTTATGTTTAAAGCAAAGGTTAATGGGAAGTTTGAAGAGAGATTTTTTATAACTTATTCCAGAGTTAGTTGTGCTGAAGAAAAATGTTCATCCTACTCATAAATACTGCTACGTAGAACCACATTTCTTCATCTGCTTCTTGTTGTCTTTATATTAGCTGTCATGTTCTTCAGCCACCATCCATTACCAAGCTAATGAACATGAGTTTGATGTGAAATTGTGTTGTGGAGACTAGAGGACCAAAATAAAGGGACAGAAAACCAAAATTAGAGCAAAAAAGTTTAAAAAAAAATAAGAAGAAGAAAGGGGCAGCAGAGTTAGATAATACAGAAGTACAGAAGATGGATCGAACGAGTATGAAATAATCCTGCATGTTTACATCTCGACAAGGGAAACATGACCTAGAAAGCAGAACTATTGTTAACAGGCTTTAAAACTGCACAAATGTTTAGGAAATTTAGGCCAGTCTGATGATTTAAATACGTGGAAGTTAATTAAAAATTTCTGTAAATAAAGTGCATTTTTGTTATGTTTCACATGGTTGGTTGTGTGCATAAAAAAAAGAAAGTAAAGCAGGTGTTAGGATGAGGGAGAGGACGGCTTCGGCTCACTCCTCTTGGAAGAGTGGTTCCTGTGGTCGCTATTGATCTGTTTTAACCTACTTAAAGATGAAACGGGAACACACCGACTGAAACAGGCACAAGCTCATTCCTGCACGCACACACACACGCACACACACACACACACACACACACAACCGAGGCGGCGAAACATCAATACAACCGCAGACTTCTTAAAGACATCCCTAATAATCACCTGAGAGGAATCAAACAGCCTGCTCAGTTTTTGCCAAACAACCAATAAACAAATAAACAAAACAAAACCACAACAAGGGAGCAGACAGAGGATTACCCAATCCACTTGCAAGCTAATTAGCTTTACCTGTACAATAGTTGTTGACTGGGGATGGAGACGGCGAGGAAGGAGAAGAAGAGAGGATGACAGGTGAAGGCAGGGGAAGAAAGCAAACAACACGAGTCTGACCTCATTTTTAGACCTAGCTTTTGTTTGTGAGAGTGAGGGAGGCGAAGTTGGGATTGAGGGGTTTTTACCTGACATGACAACAGAGAAAACTGCTCGTGATAAACAAAACACACAAAGCAGAAATGCTCGAGGAAGGATTCTTAAAAATTTAACGACATCGAACGGAGTGGCATGAGACGAACCCGCTTCTGCACGCAAACGCAACGTACAACTGGTAGTCTGTGAGCGATGTCTTATTAGGGAGCACCGATCGCATTTTCTCCTTAGGATTAATGTTGCTATGGCTAAAGAATTGATTCCTGAATAGCTGAAATACAGACGGTTTCAGAGAGTGCAGCAGCCGAATGACAACAGTGGTGGTTACATAACAAATCATCACTCATTCAACACTCTTACCTCTACAGAAGCAATTGAAGTTACACATTTACATAGCACTTCTACTGTGATCACACTTTCCTCTGAGGTTGCTAAGAGGCTGAACATTTACTGGAATTTTGGAAATGTTCAACATTTAAAACTTTTCTTGGACATAATGTGAACATATGGGAATTAAGTAGGACAAATGTAAACATTTTGGTTTACATTTTACATGAATGAAAAAAAAATCCTACTTATTTGGAAGTAAAACTTAATGAGGTTTAAATAATTTCATTTAATGATCAATCATTTCCATGAACATGAATGCTGAGTTAAAGATTCCTCAACAAGCGAGCCCACCCATTCAAAGGTTAAACTATCTCACATTATGGTAAAACTCCTTCTAAACTTTTCTCTCTTTTTTTTTTTGACTAATTCTTGACTTTTATTTCTAGAACCCTTTAAATTTTCTGAAGACAATTTGTTCAACAGTAAAGAAGAAGACATAAACAATCCTCTACACTTTAAATTTTTTATGAATGAATTTCCAAAACTACAAATGCAAGTATTCGAGGAACTTTGCATGTCTAAAAAAAAAAAAAAGTAATTAAAAGAGCAATTTGGACGCAACCGAGCCTCCGTACCTGCGATCCGCGGGCCCTTCAGAGGGTTGGACAGTGCCATGCCGATCTCGGTCATGCCGTAGCGTTCCAGCAGCATGTGTCCTGTGATCTCCTCCCAGCGCTGCAGGGTGGGCAGAGGCAGAGCAGCTGAGCCTGAAACCATCAATCTGATAGAGGGGGAAAAAACAGAAACCTCCAAATAAAGCTATCGATTTCTCAGGGGGAAAGACATATAAATTACAGCAGGACAAGGAATAAAATATTGTCAGCAGAAAGGCAATAAAATAAAACGAAATCAGTAGAAACAACACAACCACTAAAAAAAATAATAATAACCAAACAGTATGGATGCACTATGGATTTAATAAAAAGAGTCGTAGTACAGAAGCTAATAGCGTGTGCTACACATGCAGCATAAGGGTAACAGTATACAAATAATTGTTTCCCCTTCATTCCCAGTGTCTGTCGATGTGCCTGCAGCAGCTGTTTTGATGAAGGCCCATTGAAACAGTTTAAGGAACTTTACAACCCTTAAATTAATTGGAAGCACCAATTAGTGCCAAAATGTCACCCTTACTGTGCAGTAAATCAACCAAAACAGCTCAAGTATCTAAGAAGTTAAAAAAGATGACAAACTTTGACTCAATCCTGGGCGTACCACTGTAATATCTGGACAACAAGCCGCTACTTTTTCCACATGCTTTGAATACTGCGGTACGGCTAATCTAAAACTTTTTACCAGCAGGTTTGGAAAGACTGGACAGCTGTGTGATGAAGAGGACAGCACAAGCTAACGGGCGAAGTTGCCCCGAGATGAAAGTGACATTGAGAGCGACAACAAAAGAGAGCCTAAAGAAGTGTGTGAGAGTCTGTTGAGTTCTGATACTGAAGAAGACGACTTTAGTGGTTTTATTAGTCTGATAGGCTACCGTATTATTTTAATAGTCTTTAATAGTCTACAGATTATTCTCTTAAACAACAAACTTCACAATATTGCATATTTCTGTTTACATCACACGGAGTTGGAGAGACATGATTGTCTCCCAAAAAAAATTAGCAAAATACACTAAGATAATTTTTCTACGATGGATGTTGAACCATATTCATTTATAATAGATTTAAAGAAAAAACTGACTGTAACCCAGTACCATTCACAAATACTAAGCCAAAAACAGTGGAAGAGTGTAAAAATAAATGTTGAATAAAACAGAAATGTTTTGGAAATATATTGAATCTTAAATTCAAGTAAAAATAGGACAAACTTATTTTTGGTGTTTTCCTAAAATACATTTTTACAAATGTGAAAAAAAACAAAAAAACAAAAAAAACAGACTGCAAACGGAATATAATACAGAGAGATACAGATCACAAAAAACTTTAATTACACTTTTGCAAGTTAACTGGATATAAAATGGGGGAAACAAATATTTCAACAACAAACCAGTAGCAGCATTATTTATTCCTTCGCTATGCTATGCAGACACCCAGTCTGCACCAGTGAAGATTCAGTCATCTCTGCCTGCTGAATGCTTGGAGTGGCTGACATGCCAAGGGCAGTCCAACCTTTTTCTGATTAACTACAAAATAACTAATTGACCACTTGAGGGCACTCAGACACTGTGGATGGGACATTGACCTTTCAGTCACTGATGGGCTTACGATCAATTAGCCAAAAAATTGAAAAAACTTGGTGAGACCACAGGAAAACAAACAATTTTGTCTTCATGGACAAGCACAATATTTAGTTTGTAGCTAATTCTGACACAGATACATTATATATATATATATATATATATATATATATATATGTATATATATATATATATATATATATATACATATATATATATATATATATATATGTATATAAAAAATCATTAACCAACGTAAAAAGTTAAGAAATTGTGTGAAAGCAACTTTATATTTTCTACAGCCTTCCAACTTCTTTTGGATAATAATCAGTTTTAGACGATCCCAAGATAAGTACCTGATTCTCTCCTTGCAAACCGCTTTGACAAAATCCTTGACATGAGGCTGTGTGAAGTGCTGATCATAGTACTGGATGAGCTTTGAGTAAATAGTTGGCACGGCCATGAACACATTAACCACTGGAGCCTTGAAGCTCAGGAGCATCTCCCACACCTGGGGACACGCAGAGAGAGAACGAGTCAGGCCGAGATAAGGGGAATGCATCGCTGAAAAGGGAGAAAAGGAAAATGATAAGGAAAGGTTAAGAGAGACGCGGCGACTGCAACAAAGGGGCAATGAAAACTAAATTATAACATCCAGATTTATTCCATTAGTGCTACAGAAAAAAAATGACATTTTTTCTTTTCCCTTTCATTTGATGTAAATGGCAGAGTAAAGTCCACGGCAGCCTCATATTAAACCTGTCAACACAATGTCAGAAAAAGACAAAAAAAGTCAAGCTTTGTAAAGGTCAGGAGGAGGGAAAACGCCAGCTGCTGAAGGGCAGAGCAGCAACAACGACCAAAACAAAGACCTGCTGCACCGCCACTTTCGACAAATGGGTGAAGTTAAGAACGTCTGCATTTTAACATAAAAAGAAAATCTGTCATAATGCGCACTAAAAAACAATAATTTAGACGTTAAAGAATAGACACCTCAAATATAACCACTTCAGAGAGGCTTTTTATGAGGTATTTGTTGGCTGAAAAGCAGCTTTGTGAATTTTGTCATACCACTAATTGAATTCATAACGATGTTAAAATAATTTACCAATAAATCAACATAGAGTTTAATTATTCCAATCCCTACTTTATCTAATCAGGGTAGTTTTATCATCATATTTAAGCATCAGAGAACACAATTGTACCAGAAACAAGTATTGATATCTTTTTTCCTTTTTTTTTTTACACTCATAAATATCACAATTTCTTTTCCATGTGAGCCTTGATGGCTGAACGGCGACATGATTGAAACTTGGGTGTAAAAAAATGCTGAACCACATACTTAACTGCGAAGCATCACTTTAACATTTCAAACGCACCCCACTAAAGGTTTGGCTATCAATTCATCGTCGTCACTCATGGCAGTCATTTTATAGCTGTCCACAAAAAAATCCCTTCACAACTGTAATGGAGGACTTGCACATTTTGAAATGCCTTGTGACAAAAATATCACTTTTTCCAAGCACACCCTGAACGTCTGTGAGGATCCGTCAGCGCAGGAGATGGAAGGACAAGATGAAGAACGGCTCCTCTGAAGTTTCTCTCCTTCTGTAGGGAGAAAAATGCTCCTCCTTCACTGCCCTCTCATTTCACTTTACTTATCTTCACTTCTCCTGTGTTCATTCTGCTTTAATTTCCCAAGTGCTTCATCTTCATTCCCCACTCCCTTCCCTGACCCCACACCCTTCCCTCATATTTTTTTTTTCTCTCTCGCTATCTAACATTCAGTTACCTTCTCTCTACATTTTGTAATTTCTTGCTCCGCTGCCCCTGCAGTCTCTCCCATATACATACCTGGGTATGTACTCACACGGAGAAAAATGCAGACCCTCCTATCATCACTTCCACTTTCAGTGACACCAGATACTCTGTAATGGGCTTCCACTTTTTCCTTCAAATAAAACTCATCATTGACTCACCTAGTCTATTATCCATGAAACCTCACCTGAGTTTCCCCCCCCCCCACCTCTAATAAACAACTATAACAAACACATGAAGAATAAGATATTGAGTTGACAACATCATCAGAAGCTGATCTAAAAGCTGGAGAGCATCAAGACTTAACCTGTTCTCATACAGAGAGAAGAATTATTAACTGAGCGTGCTCTGACCACTCTGGGTGGTGTCTGTCAAGTGCACTGAAGCGCTTCCACCAAGTTCACTCCAGAGGGGAGGGGAAAGTAATTTATGTCTATCAAGGAGCTGGTCTCCACCTAGGGGACGAGATCTACTGAGAACCCAAAGCTGCAGCCTGCATCCTAAACAACTTTGCCTTGTTGGAAGTTCAGCTTTGAGCCCGACTCGACTCAGTATCAGCTCACCAAAACTTGACCCGTTCTAGGACAAGCTGACACAGTTTGGAATAATGTTTTATACTTGCTACTTTAGATTTAACAAACATTTTACAATCAGTTAAGCACTTTAGAAATGATCAGTCTTTCAAATTTTCTCGACTGGTCTGAAGACGCAACGTTGCAAGAAGTATTAGTGGAACTTTCGAAATAGGCTTTATGGTATCTCTTTTAATAAAGACCGTCACTGTCTGGCAGGGCAGCAATCAGGATTGTTGTCCGAGTGTCCAGGAGAGCTGCAGCTAATTTACCTTCACAAGTGGAGCATTATGGCTTTTGCTGTAGAGTGACACCCTAAAAGCCTCGCATGCAGCCGCCAAAATTCACCTCGCGACGGGCGGGGGTCACGGCGCCCCCTGGCGTTGGACACCCCAAAGGCTCCAAGCCCAGACACCATCCCACATCAGCAACGATGTCGACAAGAGCAAAACCAAAAGCCTCCCATCATCGCCAAGTGAAGGATTAAAGGAGCAGAAACTTTCTTCTACGTTTGTCACATTTGAAATCTAAGTTTAGCCTTTTTTTGGACAAAGAAAATCTGAAGTAAAAGCTTTTTTACATGATTATTGTTGACCTGAGTCTGACAGGAAGAATATTTACGTACTCTCTCCCCACCCTCTTGTACAAAGAAACTCAAAATATAAGTGTTTTTTTTAATCCATAAAAAAAAACACTATTTTTTGGTGTTAGTAAAAATTCCACAATCTATTTATATTCTCTGGGAATTAAGGAACCTGCTTGACATTTGCTTCTCCTAAAATCAATGTTTGATCTGAAACCCAGAACAGTTGAATGTAGAAAATTTCAAATTGTCCAAACTTGAATAGGTCAGACCTTGAATAAAAATTGGAAAGCGGCGTTGGCCAGTAAAGGCTTAATGTCTACATCTAGAGAAACTTCTGTATTTGGACTCAAACATTTGGTTGTTTATTTTTATGGGTTTTGTGATCAACCAAATCCATGAACATCAACAACACTGAAACCGTCAGTCATAGTTAGTAAGACTGGAAAAGATGAATATCTGAACTAAAACATTAAAACTCGACAGACTCAGCGCAATTTATCAATTGTAGTTAAATTTTCTTGCAACAAAAAACCTTATATTGTATTTAAAGATGACCGTAAAAATGACTTTTAATTGGATATTTAAAAATGTACTCTCCACATGGCATAAAATGTCAAATATTTTGCTGGTTTGCACAGAATGAATGTTGCTCTCTTTAACCTTAATGCACACTGAAACTGCACTGGGCGCTGTGATCAGACCTCCAGTCCAGCTCTGAGGGACGGTACACAGAATATAGATTCAGACATATAAACTGGAGTTGAACTACAGAAGGAGTATCTCAGGGTTTCCAGGCTGAGTGCTCATCAATCATTCATCAAGGCTACTTTGTAAAAAAGTCGTTGCTTTTAGGAATGCAATGCACCGACTCCTTATCTCTGGGTCTTCTGGAATTTCTTACATCTCAGCACCTGCTGTGAATATTATAAAAGGTGCTGTTATCCTCAGTCTGTTCTGTGACAGTACATTTGTTTTATTTAATCACAAAAGAACACACAGTGGGATTTTTTTTTTTCAAATATAATTATTATTTCTAAGTTAAAATAGACTAAATTTAATAGATCACTCTGCTGCTCAGGTTAGCCTTCAAAGAGCTCACGGCACACAGAAGACTATTGTTCTCATTATCAAAGTACTGGAGCTTCAGGATGGAATAAAAGTCTTTTTTTTTCTGTGAAGAAAAACAAAACTAGGCATGCAGGTCTAGTTTTGGTCGGGAGAAATAACTGATATCTGCAGCAGTGTTTCCATGTTCTTTTTTGGCTATTTCAATAAAGAATTACGCTTGTATTTATCAGAAAAGGTGCAGGTAACCTATTTTAAACCAACTCCTACCCACACACACGCATACCTCACCCCTCTTTCAGGGCCAAATAAGCACTATCATCCTTCAATGTCATCTCATCGATTGATCTGCTGCTTAAGCCCCTGCCGTGAGTCGGCATTGGTCACATACAAAGCCACACAGGGCAATTCATCACTGAGCACCGACCGCTTAGCTTGACAGTCAGGAGGAGAGCAGGAGGAGAGAGAAAACGAGGAGATGCTTATAAAGGGGAAGAGGGAGAAGAGATGAAACAAGGACAAGTGGGGGTGGGGGGGATATGAAAACAGGGAGGGTGAAAAATGAAGAGTGAAAAACAAAGAGTGACAGAAAAAGACCCGATATGAAAACAGTCGAGAATGCTTAAAATGCATAACAGCGCACAGAGGTAAAGTGTGACTTAAAGAGCGCAACAGAGAGGATTAGACCTTCTGAGGCTGGAATTCAGGAAGCATGACGCAGGTGGCTCCCACCCACAGGGGGCAGAGCAGCTTGTTAACGATGCCGTGAACGTGGTGGAGTGGCAAGGTGTGGAGGATGACGTTGTCTTTAGACCACGCCCACTCAGAAACCAAACACTGGACCTACGGCGGCAGAAAGGAAGGGACAGAGAGGAAATCAGCATCTCAAAGCCACAGACATTTAAGAACCCATGTAAGGTGATATATGAAAGAAAACAACGCACAAATGCTTTAATATCAACTAGAAGAGATTAATAGCTTTCATGCATTACTCTTGTTAGTCTTTAAAAAATCCTGAGAGACCAGTGAGCGTTCAGCATTCATGCGGATGGACAGAATAAATTTCATTTACAATAGAGAGAGAAGGCTGAGAAGTACTTTCAAGGTACAGCAGAATTCTTTAGATAGTCTTTAGTTTATTTGAGTGTCTTGTAAATTTGTCTGGTGGTTTTGATCTCTAATCTTTCTAAACTTCTTCTGTAAATTCACCCAAATTTAACCTGCTGCATGGAGCAACACCAAGTCAAAACCCCGATCTCCAGGAATGCTCTTGTTGGAGATTAAATTATTATTTAATCTTTGAAACAGTTATTTATCGCAGCGTTATGTGCAAATAGAGCAAAGACAATAATTAGTGAAGTCAAAATGACTAAAAATGTAATATTTATCTTTTATGTCTTGGAAAGCAAATGACTACGCCACTTTATCCCGGCATGAAGTCACAACAGTGTAACAGCAATAAGGACAAAATTATAACCAAGTATTTTCAAAGTAGTGGTCGTAATTTAATCTGTCTTTAACTCGTCTTTCCAGACTGATGGGAACAAAGGTTATTTATTTGTCTTGAACTGAACACGGTCGATCACAGTACCATTTCAAATGCAAATCAGCAGATTACAACTGCAGGATATAAAAGCTAATGTGTTCAAGGCTGGGTAAATATTTAATCACTTAATTTAATTTGTTCCTTCAGCACCGCAAGCTTTGGAAAATGACAAAGTATTCTTGTCCAGGTGAAGGAAAGAGAGAAAGCAACAGATCTCATGATCAGTCGCTGTGCACCTCTGATATTGGCAGTGTAAGCAGTGCATTTGAACTGGGAAACTGAGCTGGTGAAATATCTTCATCTCCTTGTTGCAAGCATAATATTGGTTGTTTTCCACAAGATCTAACTGGAAAACACTGGATATATAACACACTTGTTATATTTCTGGATTTTGAGCAACAGCACAGACCATCGAGATCAAAGTGAAGTATTACACACACTAAAAGGATTGATTTTCAGCAGTTCCTGGCAACACTGACGACACTTTGTGCAGCGCCTCATGATGAAGTAACATCATGCACCAGGACATTGTCTCAGTGCCTCTTAGTGACTCAAGTAACGTAATTGCAGCTTTTTCAGCCGTCAGGACTGTAGATACAAAAGCCAGGAACACTAAACTTAATATTTGTTAATTTGAATTAATTTACCAACAGCACCTTCCAAGAATCCTGACAACCTGATGGCCTTCACTTCCAGGAAATCAATCACTCGCTAATTTTTCTGGGACAGTCAGAGACAACCGATGCTCTGTCTCTATTCAGGGTGATTTCATTAAGCAGGCGGCTGGATAAATGGGCCTGATTGGACAAAAAATATTCAGACCATTTCTCTGTGGACTCTGAATGGTATAAACACAGAATTCTAATGAGAGTTTCTGAATGTTTTTTTATTAAAGAAGATGGGAGAGGTACACAGTTTCACTCTGAATGGAGCAACTTATGCAACTTATAAAGTAAGGAGATCTGAAGGGACATGGGACTTCTCTCAGTGTCCCCACCACTGACTTTGCTGCTTACATAACAATGTTTAGAGAGAAATCTAAACACTGAAAAGGATTAATTTACATTATAACACCTATTACATAATCCATACTGAAATTACAGTGGATGTAGCATGAGAACCCTGTGACAATCCCCCAGACAAATCAGTAAAACTATTTCAAACCACTGTTTTCAAAGTTGCATGCGTTTCTATTTAGTGTTAGTCCTTAACACCATCCATCTGTATTTAGTAATGTTATTTTATACTGATATATGTTTTATTGATGATCTGAAACATTTAAAATTGGTAAAGAGAAAAAGAAAAACGCCTGTGTTTTGACCGCACTGATCTAGATCTTACCATCTGCCACTCTAGACAGTGATCTGCAATTCCAGTCCTCCAGTTCAACTGTTCTGCAACTTTAGGATGTATTCCTGCTCCAATATTCCTAAATCAAATGGATGGTTCATGGCCAAGATCTGCTGACATGCCAAGGAGGTAACTCAGAATTTTGATTCAGGTGTGGGAGCCAAGATGGATCCAAAAGTTGCAAGACAGGCGGCACTTAAACACTGGATTTGCTGATTCTTGTAGTAAGAAAACAAAAATCGTATTTTCTTTTTCATTTAAATGTGTTCATTCTTTTATGACTCTATGTTCAATACAATCAACCTCACTCTCAAAACAGATCTGCGATAAATGCAAGTCAATTAAAAAATTAAAAATAAATAAATAAAAGGTTCATAGGTGACTAGCTACCATTGCTTGGATGCTTCTGTGTGTATGCAGAACTCCTTTGGGGCGGCCCGTGGTGCCACTGGTGTAGACGATCATAGCCGGTCGATCTGCCCAGTCCGTGTTGGCGTTCTCCTCTTCTCTTGAAGGTGTACCAATATCATCTAAGGCGTCCAGGTCTGATGTAGGAGGGAGCGTTAGACATGGAAGCCCCAGCTTCTGTGCCAGCGGTTCAAGGGTCTCTGCATAAGGATGTGCTGCCACCAGCAGTGAACTCTGGGAATCAGTGATGATGTACTCCAGTTCTGAAAGAGGATGCTTTCGGTAAAGCGGCACCACCGTGCCGCCACTCATCCAGCCCGCCCACTGTGCCACCACGTAGGAAGCATCATTTGGACACAGAAAGGATATTCGTCTTCCGTCAAGACACCCAAAGCCAGAATTTAATGCTGCGCTGATTCTACTGGCAAGACCTAAGCTGCTGCAGTACAGCTGCTTGTAGCTGTGACTCCCACTGCTGTCTGCGACTGCAAGCGTTTCCCCAAACCCAGGAGCTCTAGTGAAGACAGGCATCACATTTGTCCTTGAGGATGATGCAGTAGTCCGTCTGTAAGTGCTTTTGTGAACTGGAAATCCCAGTGACCACCATCTTGGATCTAAAGGGTGAGTGTTTTTGGAGTAACTTGCTTTCCAGTGAAGAAAGGTCCACCGTAAAGGAGGTTTGGTGAAGGTAAACAGTTCTGACAGCATGTTTAAATTTGACCCCCTCAAAACCTACTGGAGTTTGCATGTCAAGATGGCTCCATCCACAGCTTTGACCGTCTAATTCTAATCTCATACATCAACCTGGAAAATGAGAAGAAAAAAATATTTCTGTTTAGTTTTAGCAGAATTAAAACATGACTATTTATTCTGGGTTATTACAAGGCTGATTTCTTCAGAGTATTTTATTGTAAAGACAAAAGAGGTACAAAATAAAAACTTGCACATTTATAAATGAATTCAGTGTCACTGTAGATGCAGTGAGGAGCAAATTAACAAAATAAAGCAAGTTTAACGCACAAGGACATTAGTTATTTCTCCTAGTGTGTTGTTGTGCGGTACTAATAGAATGAATGCGATTTCTTTTGCCTTTTTTAAAGTTTTCTATTAATTTTTTGTTTGCTGCAAACCAATTTCCCCTTGGGTTGTGAATAAAAAGTTGAAGAGCTGAAGATCACTCTTACAGCCGTGGAAGCAAAAACAGAATTTATCAGGATTTCTCGATCGGTTTTATTATCATCCAGTCGCTTCTTAACGTGACAGTGAGAAAACAGCACAGAAGCAGCTCCTTTAACCTGTCATTACCACAGCAGTACACAGTGCAGTTGACCCTAGCACGTTTTATCTGATCGAAATACGAACGTAAACAATTATGGAGGACAGAAAAATGTCATTCCGACAGAAAACAAAATCTGAAGATTGCGTAATGATTTCGGAACCCACCTTTGATCACATCTCCTGAGACAAATCGTTTATTATTCAATATTCCACTCTCAACTTACCCCATAGCAAAGTGAAGGACGGTGCAGCGCCAATATGTTGCCGGTAAGAAACAAGCGAACACGGAACCATTCATTTCCAGTGAAAGTAGTAAAAACATTCAGGTATTTAGTGAAAACTAGATAGATAGATAGATAGATAGATAGATAGATAGATAGATAGATAGATAGATAGATAGATAGATAGATAGATAGATGGATGGATGGATGGATGGAAAAACTGACGGACGATATAGATAGACTATATACAACATTAGAAAAGAACATACACAGAATACGCATTAAATTAATCAAGAAATATACCTTGAAAATGAGAACTTCAAGATTTTATTTTAAACATTTTAATTTGAAGTTCAGCCTTGCACTGTGTGTTTTTCTCAGCAGAGAAATAAACTTTAAACCACTGTTTCAATATGTGACCTGCAGTAATCTGGGTTTTACCTGACATCCTCAAAACTGAAAGATTGATATCAGTCTAAAAGCTCAAGTCATAGGGGCTTGGATAACAAGTCACGTATTATGCCTTGCAACTTGATGCTGTATTTTCTTTACTAGTTCCTGTTCCTTTCCATAGCAGTGCCTAATTACCAAGTATCACATTCCTTTTATCATTTTCGCATTTTGTCATGTTACAACTGACTTCAATGTGGTTTCTTTGGTATGTTAGGTGATAAAACAAGACATAATGGAAAGTGGAAGATAAAGGCTTCATTCAAAAATGTTTTACCAATAAAAATCAGAAAGCTGTTTGTTTGGATGTGTTTGTGCACCAAACCCTTTTCTTTGATACCCCCAAATAAGATACTAGGGTTAGGGTTAACTGCCTTCAGAAGTAAAATGCAGCTGGTCTGTAAAGGGTTTGCTGGAAAACAGAAGTAAACAAACATGATTATGTGGGTCAAGAAACACATCTGAGAGTCTAGGAAAAAGTTGTTTAAAATTGGCTAACAAATGAAACAATGCCCCAATTTACCCAAATTTATATTTCAATTAAACGTTCAAAAATAGAAAGATAACTCAGGAAGCCTTGAAAAACAAAACTTTTTGGCCTCCAAACTGCCAAACATTTTAGTTTTCTGTGTGTGGCAGAAAACTAAACTGTCTTCTCACTAAACACATCAACCATATGTTTAAGAAAATGACTAAAGAGCACACTTGCATTTTTTGCCGCACTTCAATAATATCGCCATAATGCAAATATACTTCACACTTTTCAGATATCTGTAGAAAATTAAAAAAAAATCATCGTTGTCTTTTCTGTTTTATAATAAAATTCTACTTCCTGTTGGTCTAGCACTTGAAACTGAATTAAAATATAAAGGTGTGTCTGGTTCTTATGTGACAAAATGTGACAAAGTTATAGAGATATGAGTGCCTTTTCAAAGTATTGTATACTGGACTCTTGTGCATTAGCACAAGAGTCCAGTATACCTTCACTCATCATACAGAAAACCTCTTTTTGGTTGTTTGCACTTTGAAATCTGCTGTACAAGCATAAAGACTATTCAAGAAAACACACACAGACATTTTGGCTGTGGATCAGCAGAGCAGACATCAGCAACTGAGAGGTTGTGAGTTTGATTCCAGTTCCCCTTCATTCTACTTCACACTCACATGTCTTTGAGAAAAAAAAAAAACACACTGACTCTACTGCTTCTGCATTTACTGTATGCACATACAATTGAATGAAACTTGTAAATCCACCCACATCCAATCACTGAGAATGCAAATGAGACCAAAACTTGCAATCTTGGTGTGTATCTAGAGACATACAAGGGAAACAAATCTCCTTAAGCAGATCACAGTAATAGAACAAGCTATACAGAGAATAAGAGAGTAACATCAATGTAACTTTGATTCTGCTGAAATGTGCCGCCACTGTTTAATGCTGCTTTTTTTATAGATACAAAAGAGCCATCAGTTTGTGACTTGTAGAGTTCTGCCTCTCTGAAAGCAAATTTAGATTAGAAGTCTAGTCTTCTAATTATTCCATTGTACTTGGTGCAATCCTCTTTAGTGCTTCTTGCAGACCCACACGCTTTATATCCTTAATAATTACAGATTTGTTAAAATCACTGGAGCTTTCTGTTATTTTGTGGATGCTGGCAAAACCCCACACCCTGCAGCTTCACTGGTGCGCCACAGAACCAAGGATGCGAGTGAAGGGAGGCGGTGCAGCATCGATGCAGCCACCACACACACGGTGCTGCCTTTGGCCTCAGATCACATGCCAGTTCTTTCACTTAGCGTGCCAACTAGCTTGGCTGGCTCCGTCATCGCAGTGCAAGTGGGCACATTCAGCCGCCAGCTGGCAGTCGCGGACCTTCAGTAAGAGAATGGTACGGGCATGGCACACGTTCAAAAAGTTTTCTCTTCCCTCCCCAAACCCCCTACTCTGCAGAAGAGGATGGCATGTTCCTAACGAAATTCGAGGCTTTGTTTGAGAGAACCCCCCTCCACTCACAGGAATAGTATCGTCAAAGACCACTCCACTCCCATTTTTAGGGAAAAGCTGCAATTTCTATCCCTGCCTGCACCACTGTTGTTTCAGGAAATATTTTATTAGTGGGACATTTTTGCAGTCCTTGGCCTCCTTTTTCGATGCAAATGGCACGATTTGTCAGGATTCTGCCTAAAAGCAACCAAATCTCCGAGGAAAGACAAAAGCAAAGGCGACTCGAGTTTTTGGATTCGTTTCCTGGACGTTGGCCATATCTTTGTCGTATACTACAAGGGGACTGGAATCTGAGCCAAACAGAGATTTATTTACAATTATTGGAAATATGCAAGGAGGGAAGAAGAGTAGAGGGTGAAAAACGAGCACCACGTATACGTCTCCAATGGAAAGGGAAGGTATGGGTTGCATAAGGACTAGAGGAGGTAATCAGGGGCCGACCCTGCTGCCGCAGCGACCCGGTGCCAGCGTATTTTTCAGAAAACAACACCTTAAACAGTCTCGCCGCTGATGGGCAGAACGACCGCAAGCTGGCGCCAACTCTCATCTTGGAATAGGATTGCGTCTGAAAACCAAAAAAAAAAAAAAAAAAAAAACGTAGACCCCCCACAGATCTTCGAGAGAGGCTGAGAGGGTAACACAAACCGTAGGGAGTACCCAAGCATGTGTCAGGTTGGCATCAGTGTGAGAATGTCTTGGCAAGCTCTCGGCTCTCTCCCCTCCCACCTCGGCTCACACACAAACACACTGTTGCCCTGCTTGGAACACATGGTACATCAGCAGCGGCATCTGGCCACGCTGACTCCTGGCAGCTGCGCTTCGTCTTCGCCAGTTGGGCGTCTTGGCACTGCCACTTCATCAACTACCTGTGGCTCCTCCTGGGTAAAAAGGCGAGCAATGAATTATTCCAAGGCTGCAGCTGCAAACTTGACTTTCATCCAAGAGTTTCACTGTAAACATATGAGCGCTTCAGTGAACACATGCCACCCACATACTGATGCGCAGTTGACAACATGGCTTGTGTTTTGCACAATATGATGTGATGCCCTCATGTTACGGCTTGGGTGTTTTGTGACGCAAAAGATTTTCTCTTTGATGACCCTGCAGTTATAAAGTGAGCTGCAAAAAAAAAAAATCTTTGAGGATTTGGAAGCTTATCATTTACAAAACTGATTTGAGTCCCTGAAGCAGTTCAAAACTGATCAAATATCCCAACGTACAGAATGGAACTTTATTTGGAGCTTGTAACTTTCAGACCAACCAAGAGGTCGACTCAAGGGACAAAGACCATTATTGAAATTAACAAATGTATGGAAAACCTGTAAACCTTGAAATATCATCCTTGCAGCTTTTCTGAACTTTTCCTCTGTACATTTTTGACCAGTGCTTTCAAAGACAGCCGGAAGATACCAACACCTCTCGGTCTCTCTGGACAGAGAGGTCCAGAGAGACCGAGAGAAAAATCACTCTCTGATTTTTCTTGCACAGCCACCTTCAGATGGAAGGGTTCAAAGATCAATGTTCAATTCTGAAATCAATCCTGTTCAGTTTATCTGGAAGCAAAAAATTCTGGTTGCAGCTAGTGGTAGATTAGTGTATGTTTTTGTTCATACAAGAAGCAAAATAAAATAATTTTTTTTTAAATGAACATTTTAAATTGCTTTAGGTGTCTTGAGAACTGCATGATGCAATCTGATCTCACAAATTACTGTATTTCCTGCCTCATTTTCTGAGAAAATCAGGTTGTTTTAGCTATACCAACTTTCTGACATCATCTGCCACTCACATTCACACCTAGATTTTTTTTTTCTATGGGTGTTAGTCACATGATGGTTACCCAGGGGGGAGTTCCCCCTCCCCCCATCTGTGTCAGTCTGACCCATTTTAGCCTTCAGCCATGTCCAACTGTTCTATGCCCCAAACATATGTGGGGTGGCAGGGGGATAAGCGAACCGTCGCCATACCGGACCTGCAGACACACACTGCTGATACAAGACTGGACCCCGGATTTCTGTGTTGACCTTTGCAAAGCACCTCTTGAACTGAGTGTATTTTTAAGTGTTGCACATGTGATTATCTGCACAAGTGAAATGAATCTTCTTTGCTGACTTCTTGAGTTTCTTTAATTTTCTGCTTTTGTGTTTTGTTTTAAAATTTAAGGTCGACCTTTCCTTTGTGTCTCTCAGCCAATACCTGCCCCAGGCTTTTGATTTGTTCGTCAGACTGGCTTTGCTTTCTTTTCCTAAATTATAACTTGAGCCAGTGAAGGCAGGATTGGCCTGTCAGAGGATAAACTGGGGTATTTTCAAAATGGTCCATGTTGGCAGATGAGATGGTTTCGTTGCACAGAGCCTAGACCCACTGGGGACGCAGGGGTGTGAGGCACATATGGGCAAACAGTCTGCTGATGAGCTGCTTACATGAGCCTCTCATCATGGCCTCAGAGAGTTGTCTCCACCAGAGGATTTGGAAGAGCTGCGTGTTGGAGGAAGATTTTTAGATGTAAATGTTCTTCCTTCTTTAAAAAAACCCCCACAAAAGAACAAAAAACAAAAAAAAAGGCTCAGATCAAATGTTTAGAAGCAAA